ACCCCTTTGCATTGCCAATCTTACCCTACAGAGTTGGGGGTTTTAATGGGAAAATAAACCCGTTTTGATGAATAAAACAGTAAACTTAAAATATTCGAATTTTTTTTGGGGGGGCAGTTTTTTCCCCCCCACGAGAGTTAAAGTTTTGATTTTTGGGCCCCAAAACTGCCTTTCGTTAAAATTTTTTTGTTTAAATTTTTCAGAATCCATCACATGAAAACAGATCGTCGATCAAAATTTTTGTTTTTTACTTGTAATCTAAATGTTTTAGTTCTTGTTCTTGTTGGTTTTAAGGTACTTGTTTTAAGTTTGATTAAGTTCGTTACGTAAAATTTTTTCCAATTTTCTTATGTTCATAATGTTTCATGTTGTGTCTTGGCTTTTTATGAATCGGCAGGGTGGCCACCAAAGCAGGGTGGCCCCCCCCAAAGGAGGGGGCCCCCAAAGGCAGGGTGGGCCCACCAAGGCAGGGGTGGCCCCCCCAAGGCAGGGGGGCCCACCAAGGAGGGGTGGCCCCCCAAGGCAGGGTGCCCCCACCAAAGGCAGGGTGACCCCCCCAAGGCAGGGTGGCCCTCAAGGCAGGGTGGCCCCCAAGGGGGGGGACCCCCAAGGGGGGTGACCCAAAACCCAAAGGCCCCGGGTGGCCCCCCAAGGAGGGGACCCACTAAGGCAGGGTGACCCACCCCCCGGAGGGGGGGACCCACAAGGCAGGGTGGCCACCAAAGGGGGGTGGCCCACAAGAGGGTGGCCCACCAAAGGCAGGGGACCCACAAAGGCAGGGTGACCCAAAAGGCGGGGGGAGCCACCAAGGCGGGGGCCAAAGGCAGGGTGACCCCCAAGGGAGGGGGACCCACCAAGGCAGGGGGACCACCCAAGGGAGGGGGGAAACCCCACCCAAGGAGGGTGACCCACCAAGGAGGGTGACCCACCAAGGGCAGGGTAGCCCCCGAAGCGGGTGACCACCAAGGCAGGTGACCCACCAAAGGGAGGGTGACCCACCAAGGCCAGGGTACCCACCAAAGGCAGGGTGGCCCGAAAAAGAAAAACTTTCACCATATTTACCCCAAAAGTCTTCCAAAAGGGGGGCACTACAGTTTTTAAACTGCAAAATTTAAAAACCCCCTCCTTCAGGGCAGGCCTGTCTTCCCATCTAGGGGGCTCAATCCCGGGGTTGCCGGTTTTTCCTGAATCCAAGACCCTTTTTCTTATTTATCCTACCTAACAGAATGCTTGCTGAAAGTCCAAGCCCTTGCACAGGCCTTTTTTAAACCCCCCCTTAACTTTTAGGGGCATTTTTCCCTGTTCCCCAAAAGATTATAACCCCTTTTTTTTCTGTTCAGCTTCCTACCCCTTTAAAACCAAATCGAATTCCCCAGTCCCCCTCTGTTTAGTTTTTTTGGTAACCGCCCCTCCTAAGGGGTTTGGGCCCCCCAAAAATTTTTAGATGAACCCCCCCTACCCTTTGGGGGTCCCCTAAAAAACCTCGAAAAAAAACTGGTAAAATTTTTTAAAACCCAAAGTTTCAAAACCGAAAGGGAAAGACCGGTTACCCAATTTAAACCCGAAAAATTAAAATTTTTAGTTGGGGGATTGAAGTAAATCCGGGGGGTTGTTGGGAAGTAAGTAGGGGGGAGGGTCCTTTTTTTCCATTACCAAGCGCCGAGATGGGGCAGGCTTAGGAGCGGGGAATTTGGCCCCCCCAAATTCCCAAAAGGGGGTCCTTTTCCTTCCAAATCCCTTTTTTTTTCCCCCCCCCCCCCCCCCCCCAAAGTTTTAAGAGAGAAAAAGGGGAAAACCCGGGGGCGTAGTAATTCCCGGTAGGGGTTTTTAAGTTCCGCCAAAAAAATAAAAAACGGGGTACCGGGGGCTTTTAGGATAGAATGTCGAAAAACGCTATGGTGGGAAGGGGGGTATGAAGAAGAAAATTTGTGGGGTTTGAAACGAAAAAAAAGCCCAAAATTTTTTAAGGAATTTTAAAGGGGGGAAAAAAAAAAAAGACGCGGTTTTTTTTAATTTATTTTGGGGAGGAAAACACTTAGAGTTTAAACCAATTTGTAAAAAAGAGAAATTCATTTTACAGGACTAAAAGGGGCCTGTTAAGGGAACAAAAAAAAGCCTTGAAAACTTGAAAATTTGGGAAAAAAATTCGGGGGAGGTTTCCCAAACCCCAAGTAATTAAAGGGCCCCATTTTCTGAGGGGGGGAAAAAAGGGAAAAACCCCCATTTTATTTGGGGGGAAACCCGATCCCGTGGGGAAACACCCCCAGGGGGGGCCCCGTATTTTTTTTTCCCGGGGGTTTTTTGGGGCCCACCGTTTGTTATTTTTTTTTTTCAATTCCTTAAAATTTGAAAAAAAAACGGTTGGGGAGTTTTTCCCCTTTTTTGGGAAAATTTTTTTTTCCCCCACAAAATTCCCCCCAATTTGATAAAGTGGTCCACTTTATCAAATTTTGGGGGGGGCCCCCCCCAACCAAAACCCTTTTTTTTAAACAAAAACTTTTTTCTTTG